ATAATATATATATCATCAGAGAAGAAAATTTAACAAATGCCACAGCCATCTGTAGGCAGTCAAGAGATGTCCGATAAGTTTAAAGCGTGTCGCACCACCTGACTAGAAGCCTCTGAGAGGTTGTCGATTAGCGCAGCCAAACCAACTACTGGGTTGCCGTCCAGGGCATGCCACACCGTCCAGCTCTGAGGATCCTGGCTTGTTTGAACGTGGCGATTCTTGGTATCCGGCGTGTGCCAGTGGGTTAGTAGTAGGATGTACACCCTGTGTATCAATTGCTCGATTTTCAGCTTCGGGCTGAGTTATACACTGTTGGTGAGATCCAGCGAAACCCAAGTCTAATGCTCACTTGTTTGTGTTAAACTGCGCCCAATAATCCACGTAAGCTATTTCCTCCCGTGCTTCCTACTGGTGCCTGATCGAGTTGCCAGTGGTATTTATTCACTTTCCATCCAATCTTCCATTATCTTTTTCACCTGGAATATCATCATCATAATACATCCGTTGTGCCCCCGCACTTTCTTATTTGACTTTTGTTCCAGTTTGTCAGAAAAGAATTCAGCCCAGCGGATTCAGCGCAGAATCCACGTTCATTAACCAAAGAAGATCCGTATGTCAGCCTCAGCGACCTTTGGGCGATGTGGCGTAGAAATCCAGGTAAGTGGTTACTGTTTTCTGGGCCGACTGGACACTTCTATGTGTGCGGACGGAGTGGTGGTAGGGAACTGTCTGTATCAGACATTTCCGTTACTCAAGTTGGTTAATGTGTTCTCCCATGTTGCATTCCAAGACAATTCTCGCGTCATGTGTTACCCCGTTAAATAATTGCATTGCTCCTCTCACCAAGCGGCACGTCCGAGAGAAATACGTCTTCAGTTCGCCGAATGAGCATCCTGCTCTTGGGCAGCAATCAAGCGGGAAACGCGTTGTGGTCCCTCTTGGATAAATGGCCCGTCAAGGGTCATAGAAATTACCCTAACTATCGTTCACGGCGTTCCTCCGCTGTTGCAGTTGTGACCTCATAAAACACAAATGGGTCTAGACCCCAGTTTTACGGACTGATTAGCCCGGAGTAGCATTGCTTATAGACGTCTTGTGGCTACTGTTAGGCTGTCTGGCTTCTCCATACGATGTCAAGTGTAGTTTATACACACATCTTTTGTGGATGCAGGGAGAGGCGTTCCATAGACTTGTAGTGGTTTTCTCATGTGTATCTAACATCTACCACCTGACTAGCTTTGGTCGGCTTGGCGACCTTGTAACTGAATTCAACGTACTTTTTGTTTATTTTCCAATAAGCGAGCCGAACTAACTCCTGAGACAATCTTAGTCCAGGCTCGTCTAAACCGGAAGGTTCCCTAAAACGCGCTCTGTCATGCATTTATTGACCAGCCAGCATATCCTACCGCACAGCATCTGGTGAAGGAGGACATAAAAATAGTTTGGTCTCATGCTTTTTAGGGTGGTGTCGTAAGGTCGTATCGTCTACATAAGGTGGTATCTAGAAATGCTCGCTATGGTGAGCTCAGTTGCGAATTTAACCCCTCCCCTAAATGGCGTTTTTGACACATTCCGATTGCTTATCTTGTTCCTTTTGTCTTGTTTTTCTGCGAAACATCTCGGGGTTCCGGTTTCTTTGAAAGTGATGATAAGACAGTTAATTTAACAAACCATCCTTGCTCTTGTGAACAAAGAATGAACTCAGTCACACTTCTGTTCATGGACCTACAGGTTTAGGACTCTTCCTATTGCGTTGATCACATTAGTTTTCGGTGCCTAGCCATTCCCATGCTGAAGAACAGGAAGGCATTTTCACTCTCACCTTTATCTCCAGAATCGGTCGGCGAATTGCTTGCTTTCTGTTGCTCCAGAAGTAATAAAGAGCACCAAAAAGTTCTACGAGTAATCGTGTTACTATTCGGATTGAGGATGAATTGTTGTACTCTGTGGTGGGCGTGAAGAAATTAAGGTATTCCTGACAGCGAGCATGATCTCCATATTTAGTAAAAGCGGTGATGCTACTCTTCACCAAGGAGTGACGGATCGGGAAGGGTCGACCCGGGAACCTCACACTCTGGTTGGCCAATGGTTGACCGTGACCGCCGGTAAATTATCCAATACGGTCGAAATACAATTAAAACGAGGCAGCTTCAAATGCCCATAATTAAGCTCAGCGAAGATCAACGAGGTAAACGATGTCGATTTATCGTCTCAGTTTACGGTTCTTACAGGCTGCTGGCTACGGATGGGTTTTATCGCTGTCTGTATCACTTCGGTCAGTAAGAAGAACCGATATCATCATCCTGGTGGGTAATATGAACACCCAATTCGGATAACTAAGGCCGCAAGAAGCACAGTTGTATGGTGGATTCGATATAGATACTCAGCGTACGGATACTGAGCAGCGACTCCATCAGTTGTCTGCTGAACATTGCCCGTTCCTAGCCTGCACAAACTTTCAACGTAATCACTCACGCTGAATTACTTAGAGGCTACCAACTGGAAATCAACCATAGATTCACTTGGGTCATGTGGTTCTCAATTATCGCTGCAGGACTCCGTCGTTCTAGTTCAGCTACTCAACTCTTCCTACTACCAAGTTGTACGTGCTTGCTCATAGGTTTTGTTTCTTTCATACATACATTTACACAGGGTTACTCGACAATATCGATGTGATTTGGCTGGAGAGCTACTAGGACGGTTTATTTTACTTCACTTCGCCTTGCCTCAATGCGATTCTCACCTGTGGAAAGATGGACGGGCTTCAGTAATGTTGGGATCGTTGCTGCACACGAACAACGATCGGTGTCGACCGCTGTCGAATTCCAAAGACGACACCAAGGTTCGACATCACCCTTAATGATGGATATTCTTGTTTTAATGTTGTCTCCCAGACGACAGCGCTATCTTGTTTGAACTGTTTCTGAGAAGCAGTGTTTGTTGTAGCGGCACTGTCTCACGGATCAACTGGGTAATCTGTCTACCTGTCGAACTTTCTAATCGCACACCATTGGTCGAACGCCTCCAGTTTGTGAAGTTCCTTAACTCGAGGAGGCCATGTCTCACAAGTGTGCATCAGAAGGGATGAACTGTACCACTCTATGCGTGAAGCTTCGCACTGAGAATTTGCCCGGCTTTTTGTAGTTTCTGGATTGCGTGTGCGGACAGTTATTTCTTCGTGTGTCTCTTCGGTAAAATGACAGAACCCAGGTACTTGAGTGGATCGACATGAGATCACTCTTTTTTGACAAGGAGTGGGCTGGTCTGTTCACTCACTTTTACGCTGAAGAAATTTGTTTTACGACAACAAATGAAGCGTGCTGTCTAATGCTACAGAGGGTCGCTTGCATTTCTGCTGCCGCATTACTCTGGGCTACATGTCCTCGGTGTCTTTGCGCCCGACCCAAGCAGTAGGGCTTAGTAGGGCATCTATGTAGCCAGATAAAGCACGTTTTCTTGTCCAGTCAGTTTCAAAGTTCAAACGCATGAGGATTACTGGACAACTTGGTGGTGCACTGAAATTCAACTCGAACGATTTTGTCTCTTTAATCCTGGTCCGTAATACTGGTCTGCTCATTAATGTCATGTCCTAATTAGGGTTAGCAGCTTTTCGGGTGCATTTTCAGCCTTCAGGATAGTATAGTGTCCTTCAGGAAGAAAGCGTCTCTCTCCAGAAGCTTGTTCAACAGGCCGTAGGGTGCCTCTAGAATTTGAACCGATATTCAAGGATCCAACGCAGAATGAAAATTTGTGTCCCGTAACCTCCTCCCGGTCTTGATCCTCCTTGATTTTGTCTTACTTTGTAATCCGTTGTTGTACTTAGGCGGCGCAGAACTAATGTGGAAAAAGTTTTCGCCGTAAAATCTACCCTACTGATCCCCTATAGTTCTCGGAGCGTTTTATCGCCTTTGGGTATTACAGGCAATACGGAGGTTCCCCAGGCTGTTGGTTACACTCTGGTACTTCGTTCTGAATAGAACAATCTCTGAAGGGATCCCATAACTATGGGCAGATGGACTTTGAATATATCTTTAAGTGAATAAGTCGATCACTGGCCAGTTCCACCTGTTTCGGGAGTTCATATTTAACGACATGGTAAGGACGTCCTATCAAGAGCTAATGGTGGACGTTTAAGAGTATAATTAATGAATGAACCGAGGTATTCACTCCATCTCGTCAAATTTTCCTCAGAACCAAGCGTTCATTCTCCATATGCATCTCGAAAAATAGACTATGTTTGCTGCTATTCAATAGCCTGGTGGGCGACACGAGACAAATCTAGGAACTTACCAAGATTTGAGGCTACCTCCTTACTGTTAGACGATCTCATTTAGCGCAGCCACCAGCCAGGTAGGTATGATTTGCAGAAGTGAGATGTGCTAAACCTAGGGCCTTGATGGCTGACCTAAACACTTTGATGATTCTGTCAGTTTCACTCTTTGAAACCGTGTGGGTATAGCCCAACCTAGACGCCGCAATCTGTTGCACTGATCACTTCACATTATGCTACAGTTTTCCAACGGATTTTCGATGTGCAGTGTGACTAGCGGCAATGAATAGATTACTGAGCTCAGTGAAGAGTTCAAGTCATTTTCTGGATCATTCAAAGAGAATGCTGTGAAACGTTTCACTGCTATGTTTCTACGTCACCTGAATGTATGATCTGGTCCACGCATATCTGCGCTTTCGGTGGCGCGAAACGACGGTTAGTTTTCCATCGAAGCTACCCATCAGACGGATGCCAGGATCTATTTGGGAGCACAGTTGGGATCTCATGTGATTAGATGTCTTCTAGGGTATCGACAGCGTGTATTGTAGGCTGTGGGTTGATTAGGCCTCGAAAAGTTTACCAATCGTTCGCCATTTTCTCATCGTTTTCACAAGCCGTATCTCCCAAGCTTGCTACGCGTGGCATCGTCCTAATCTTCACTACATGCATTCCAGTCACAAACACGCATAAGAATGGTACGTCTGGGGTTTTGACTGATTGAATCTGATTCCAAGATCTTCCTATGTTATTAACATCCGACGGTGAAGTAGGTACGTAAACCTCGAGGACGGTGAAATTTAGCGGTGACCCTTTGAAGCGGGCCGTTGAGATTCCGAGAGACAAACTCCCGAAAGTTGTGAGTGCGGTTGCTGAGAGCGAATGCTACCAAATGAAGGTCTCAGTTGTCATTTAGGTCAGTGTAGTTCAAATGTCTGGAGATTTACAAAACTGATGCTTTTATTCTGTGCGAGCCGGTTTTCTGCACTCACGTTTTCGACGGGCATAGTATGTTCACTCAGTAATTTTGGGGACCTCAAGTTCTATCATCCGGATAGACCCGGACTTTCCAACAGCCAGTGTTTTTTTCAGACGTCTACTGGCGGTGCACAATAATGCAGATTCTCAAGATCATTTAGAAAACAAATGGAGGGAAATGAAGGAAGCTGTTCTCTCATCTCGAAAGAATATGTCCAAGCTATCTGTCCTGGCAGTGGGCATGAGCCTGTCGACATCATCAAATCTTATTGGTGCCTGGAAAACCACACTAATGGCTAGAGACCACAACGCTGCCGCACGCATATCTTGAACACCGGGTAATGAAGAATGTTTCGAATATCAGAGAACGCTGGTTGAAAGCGAAAGTCCAGGAGACGGGAAAGCTTTTTCTACAGGAACCAATCAAGTTCTGTATCAGCTGATAGGATCAACCTGTCAAAAGGATATGGGTCTCAGGGATACTACTTGTGAATGAGAAGAGAGTGCCGAAGAGAGTGGTGGTTTTCATGCCCGATTTAGAGTGGCGGAGGCAGAGAGATGGCCAACCCTTGACCTTGTAGAGGGGTATGAAAAATATCACGGCGGTGAAGCATCGGTGTTGAACACGGATATTATGCTGTCGATGATGATGATGAGTGGCGCTTAAAAGTGTCTCTTGTAAAACTTCACCTTTATATAGTCACTGTATGCCAACTTCTGTGTTTGCATACCGGTCTTTTCATCCGAATTTGTCACTTTCGGTGAGTAAGAGTAAGCCGCCCTCCCTCACCATTCTTCATTTTGATACTCCCCTACTTATTTTAGACACCTCGGGGATTAGAATGATCCCGGGACGTTTCACCACCGACATTGAGTTCAGGGCAATATTAGTGCCCTTGGTGCAGGCCGCTTAGTGATGAAAGCCATTCTATATAATCAAAGTAATTTTGTTTTGTGCTTCGCGAGTGGTTCACGCCCGCAAAAGCGTAAAATACTGCCACTGCACTCTGTGGCAAAGTCATGACCTCTAGCGCAGCAGTTCATAAATTTTCGGTGACCCCTGAAGCATTGGCCAGGTCTCGTCCACCATCAGATTAACAATGTTGGGGCATTCCAGGTGGTTTTAGGAAGGAAAAACTCCCCTGCGCTTCACGAGTTAATTACGTTCTGTAGGTCATGTTGATTAAGACACAATTCACACTTCAGAAGTCGTCTACTTCGCAAAATTTTCCTCCTTGCCTCTGGGTTGAGTGGAACCAACCGAAAAGTGGACCCTGGAACTGGGCTCACCAGTGGTTAATGACACTGGCGCGTTGCTCTGTCATGCAGCCAAAGCGATTAGCAACGCATAGCTCCCTTATACCCTATTTTATCGGACAACTAGAATGATTGTACATCAACTAACCGAATAGATAGCCGCTCCCAATGCCTCCTGGTTTCACATTCTTTGTTGAACGAAACCACAACAGCTGGAACCTCCGTACTTTTGGTACACGTCTCTTTGCCGATTAACTGGACGAAATGTCGATGTCTTGCTACACTGCCATATTGCTCAGTGTCTTCAGTCAAGTAGGCGAACAGCACCAACAGCACCCAGACTTTTCGTAACATCATTCATTCCCTCCTGCTACATCATGTTCTCCAGATCCGATGTGAACTATTCTTTGTCCTTAGCAGTCCTTGTTCTCTGCATAAACAGTAGACCAAAGTACTGTCACTCACGACATCATGGCGATCGACCAACTACAGAGTTTCAGTTTACCATAGGATAACTGGTTTGCATGTCTTAATCGATTGGCTTATCTGCTTCAACGAACACCGCTCTCTTTGCACTTTTATGATGTTCATGACAATGAAAAAGCACCCGCAAGGGCGTAGGCTATTTTAAACCTACCTCTCATTTCAGTGAGATACACCTCTTGAATAAACAGTTTGTCTTCAACAGCTTAGACTAGTGTTTTGAAGTTCCGAAGATGTTTCAACTGAACAACTCTGCCAAAATAGATTAGGGTCTTTCAGGGAAATAGGGTTAAGCTGAGATGAGATTTGTGAGTATGATCGTGGGCGATTGAGAGTCAGAAGGGAGACTAAGAAACATTGGGCAACTTTTACGCAAGCAATAGAATGGACGAAGTTGACTGCAGTTTGTAAACATCCTAATATACTGGAGTAGTGTGTCTTTTTCCGGGCAGAACCTGAAATCTCTCCCTACCTGTTGTTTACACAATCGACCGCACGAGCTCAACACTCATGTTAGTGACTATTTTGTGTTCATCAGTACATCGGTGCCAGACATAATGCTAGACAGAACGGAACTCATATAGCTTTTCTGTTCTACTGTCAACAACTTCGATCATTCTGAATCTTAAAAGCACTTACTGAATATATTCTAAGAACAATCTTTCTCTGCTATCACCAGGTTCTCTGTATCTAATAGACCGGTAATTTTTTTGAGGTCTGTAATCAAACCTCGACTCTGTTCTTGGACATTTGGTACTGTAAGCCATCTACATCATCAGCATGGAACTGTAATTTTTTTCGGTAGCCTAATTCGACAATTACGATGAAAATCGAGTGAATACGTCCAAGTGATTAGGATGATTGACAATCTCTCTCATCGGCGCACTGATTTTTGATACCAATAGCATCATGAAGGTGATGGAAGGACGCATGTTTTCCGTTTCCGTTCGGTATCCTCGAAACTGAAATTTGGTGGTGAATGCGTCCCTTCAGAGTGTACAAACACAATGCTTTGGTTTTTCGGGTCTTCGGTATTATTTAGGACACCAAACTGTCGACAAAACACTAACTGAGATGTACCATGTTCACGGTGCTGTGGACTAAACCCCTTGGTTAGCGGGGAAAAACTGAAGCTTATTTGGGTGGGCAGACTTTATACGATGAGCTATTCTAAACCTAGTCATTAGGGACTGGTGTTTCTCACGTAGTGCGAAATTCTACGGAGGACGGAGATGGAAGAGAAAAGTAGAGGAAAATGTCCCACGTGTGTCTGGTTTTGTATTTCATTCCTGGCTGATCTACATTCGCCCAATGAGGTGAATCGTTTCTCAGTTAACTGAGTGAAATAAAACTAACCAAGTCGATTGATTGCCCATCATTCTCCCACCGTTCTCCCCGATCTAAAACTGTCACATTGTCTTGATCAAGTTGACTGACTTATCGATTGACATGCCATTCTTGAATAGTTCTGACCATCTATCAGCTGTTTGGTTGTACACTGATGAACTGACCCGATTCATTTTCATGCTGTAGCCCACGCATACGGCTTCATGTGCATTGGGCTCGAGACTGGCGATTTGTCTAGCGTATAACCCTTCTGCTCAGTGTGAACGTATACCCTTGTATTATCACATCACTTGCTTCATCTGCTGAACTTTCCGTTTTCGATAGCTTTCGGTTGGTCTGTTAAACAAACCGTACAGTGGCTCTGTGACGTCGTCCATCTTCCCCAGTATTCTGATATATTCGTGAGGCATTCGGTTGACGGGAAGACCCTTCCGCTGTAAGTATCGTTCAGTTTCCATGCTATAGTCATCCCCTCGTATAAAGACTAAAAATATGTCTGTGTCAGAGGTGGTCCTTATGTTTTTGGAACGGCTTCCTCGCCACTTAGAGATTCGCGTTGCTTTGTCTTGTGCTTTTTGTCTCTTACTCTTCAGTTATTTTTCTAGTTACATCTGGATGGATGCAGTACGTTTCATTACACTTATCAGGTGATTGTGTCGCTCCTTCTCAGCAAACTTGTACATCACTTCATCTCATATCAAGGACCACTTTCCTAGAGGCACTGTGAGATAGTGAATGTCCTTGATGTCCCACTTCTGCCGCTGACATCCCCAACAGTGAAGTGGAATGCTATAAACCCATGTGAACCCACGCAACTTCAACTAGAACTGGTTGAATATTCCCATAGATTCAACGACAACAGAGTGACGAAGAATAGTGTTTCCGAGATTTCGTCGCCGGGTCAGTACATATCTAACGGTTAAACTAGAGGGTAAATAATTAAGTACACAACGGAAGTTGGTCAGTAAATTGGAAAACGTGAAACGCGAACAACTGGTTGCCAGCGCAACCCAGGTCGTATCTAACTGAACGCTGTGAGGTGGCCTAGAGGGCCTTTGGTAACCCGCTATGATCACCCGCATGAACTGATCCACTTGATGGCAGGTAAAATGTTATCTGTGGATGTCTTCACTGACCATGACAGAACCGTTGTTCAAATTTTAGCAGTCTGAAATTGGCTGCCTATAAAGTCGTGAGATTTCTATCAACAATCTGTATCGTGTTTTAACTGAATCGACTACATCTTTGTTCAGCGACTGTATCTCCAGAATGGGGATTGGAGGCAGGAGACCAAGTTTAATATTCCCTTATTCAGCATCCGGTCGCGAAGTTTGATTATTTTACACCACGTTCTCCCACCCTTTCAGGTTTCTCTTTCTCTCTCTCCACATGCATCATACAAAGTTTTTTGTTTGCGAAATTGCACACCATGGAGCACAGCACTGCAACTCTCGAGATAGCACTTGTTCGCACTTTTATCGACCATAGCAGACTGCAACTTCTCACCCGAAGCGCTACGCCACAAAAATAAGCTCGACTGCTGCGACAAATACACTCATTTACAAATCAATTTGGTTTTCACGGGAGACTCAAGTAAAATCTCTTGTTTATTCTGTTTTTTTCAACTGAATGTGCTGCACACAGGCCGCCTCATATTTCAGTTGGTACGATATTCGAAATATCGCAGTATATTTTCATACAGGAAACTACTCACAAGGTTGTCGAAGAGTTTTCAGCAACCTTGTGAGTAGTTTCCTCTATGAAAAGCTCAACTACTCTTATGGTTTCTAAACTTCATGGCATTTGTCATTTTTCGATGCTGAGCTTAGATTTGACATCACCTGTCGATCGTTCCGTCACCTATGAAAAGGTGTTTTTAGGTCGTGCCCTGCTACCAAGCTTAGAAGGCTCACAATCCAGTCCGCAACGATTGCGTAGGATATGTAGCAGTTTCCTTACAGAGCACACGCAAACTAATGTGCCGAGTTTGGAACCCGAATAACTAGCCGTAAAATTCATCAGCATTAAATTGTTTGGTAGTCTCATCAGCCTTTTAGGGCTAGGGCGTCGTAGTCATCAATTTGTTGGTGAATTATTGTTAAACAAACAGCTACATTGAGTGTTATTGTGAAGCGGCCATTTTTCTTGATTTTCCCTGACGTTTCGAACGCCGGAGATTCACGCTCGTCGATCGAATTCGCTCGCTTTCTTTTAGCGCTCCGGTTCGGATGTGATCAGTATACTGATTAGGAGAAAAGTTTTTAAACCAACACATGTGACCTCGACATGCAACTTTCCCGTTATAACAGACATACATCGACTGCATCTCGTCGGGTGTATACCACAACTAATATTGACGTGCTAGTGGAAGATTTGATTGGACCGGCAAAGTTGTGCAAAATTTACGTAGATAGTATCTTAAGGGTCACAATACCGACGCAAGAAACGATGGAGTTGTTCTAGACACTGAAAATTACCAACCGAAATGTCAGGTTAATAGTCGAGCACGAGGTGAGTGACACACACAGTGTGATTCAGTTGGTACCAGCACCACCAAACACAACTCCAAATCCGGGGGAGATTGCGCAATCAAAACCGACTTCATGGTAGCCCGTCGTTTACATGGAAATGGGAGTTGTGTCGACCGTGAGGCTGCGTTCCTTATCGTGAACGGTAAGCTGCTAAAGTCTGCCGAATCCATTGCTATCAGGGGATGGAAAGCAGAACTATCACTGAACAAATCGGCCATATTGTTGGCATTCTTATGATGAATACTCTTGTTTTATTTTATTTGCCCACTGTTCCGCAGTATACACCTAGAGAGGTACAGAAAAATACACCCGTTATCTCGTGCAATAGCTCGTTTCTACGTGCTCCCTTCAAGATTTGTGCCCGCTGAAATATTTTATCCCAGGGCGTTGATCTTTAGAGGTAGACATGACAGACCACTCGTAAGGCTGCTGAAAACTCTTCGAGGGACCACGATCGGTAAGTGCGGTCCCCGGGTTTCCCTCAGCCTTGAACCAAAATTGGTCAGATTTTGATCAATACTCTCATTTGCACACGAATTCGGTTTTGCTAGGGGTTTTCTGCCAGCTTTTGAGCAGCTTGTTATGTCTAGACAACAACGTATCCCGAATATTGCACCAACTGGATCATTAGGTGGTCTGATGCAGCGTGTTCGGTTGAAGTGGACCACCATAAACAAGTGATTCAGCTAGACTCACTTGAGTCTCGTATCAAAACCCAATTCGTGTGCAAATGGGAGCATTTGTCGAGGATCATACGAAGTTGTATCTGACTCGGCAGGCGATGAAATTAGTGACTATATATCCGCAATTTATGCAATGATTTCCGTTTGCGTTATGCGTGCTTCAAGTAGAGAGTGATTTCATCCGCCTTTTTCACATTCACAGGAGGTTTTTTCAAAAGTGATGAAAGTAATTCTCCTGGTTCTCGGTGAATATCACGTTTCGTCAGCAAGATCAACTATAGTCAAAAGTTGTGAAATGTACAGGGATACTGGCCAAAATAATCGACTTTTAACCTAATGCGTTGAATTTCGAACCCCCCACTGTAGTACCACATCTGTTGCGATCTCAGTAGCAGGCAAACCCGACTGCAGTGCCACATGAAAGTTAGAAAAAACCGTCTTGCACATCCCCAGGGCAATAGTCGAAAGTTGATCCAATTTTTAAAAGGTGCTCTCAAGTCATCCTTAGCAAAACGGACCTCGTCTTCGTGTTGTTGGGGCCGAGAGATGTCCACAACGCTCGCTGGTCCGCAGCTAATGGAAATTGATCGCATTAAACTGAAAAGACGGAGTTTGAATCACCGCAGATCCGATGGAATACAGGACATCCCGTTTGGCGGCGTGCGCTGGCGATTGGTTACACTTAACTAACACCTCTGAATCGTCATCTGATATTGCTGGGAGTCGCAAGGCCATTCGACAGCACGGTAACTAAGATTGAAACCAGTGGTACTAGCAGCTGAACGCTGTTGATACCTATGCATGGATGACCGGCGTAAAGTTTGTTTGTGGAGTTTGTGGACACACAGCGAGCTTGCCAAGTGCCTGAGTTGGAAATGCATCGGCTGCTGATAGAAAATATAATTTAACAAAGTCAGTCCCACATGTCACTTCTCGTTTCGTCAATGTGCAAATTCTTCCAGTGGCTTAGGTCGTTGCAGTCCTCCCACGTGATATCCCAACTGTGTGTATATGGGCAGGGCGTGGCCATCTATGTGCACATGTGAACCGTGTGAAGTGAGTAATGATCAGAGCCGGAATCCAAAACTTGGGGCAGGCCACTCTAGACCAAGAGAGTTCTTACTGTGACCAATCATCACATG